CCTCCTGGAGGCCTCTTGTGAGCTTCTTTGGGCCTCTTGGGGACTTCTTCTGGCCTCTTCCCCCCTTTTTTGACTCCCTCCCCATCTTCCCTTCCAGCGCTGGCTCTAATCATGGGCGCCGCCGTGACCAACTTCCACCTGGCTGGCGCTGCGCCGCAGTTCGTCCAGGGGGGGAAATAATATTACACTCCAGTCGCTATGTGGCCTTTGGGGGGCTTCTTTGGGGCCTTTTGGAGGCTTCTTGGGGACTTTTCGGAGGTCTCTGGGGGGCTTTTTGGTGCCATTTGGGGGCCTCTTGGTGGCCTCTTGGGGCCTCTTGGGGGCGTCTTGGGCCGTCTTGGGGCGCTTTCGCGCCTTTTGGCCCCTTCGGAGGACTTCTTGGGGGCCTCTCGCGGCCGCCTTGGGGTCCTCTTGGGGTCCTCTTGGGCCGTCTCAGGGGTTTCTTGGGCCGTCTTGGGGGCCTCTTTGGGCCGTCTTGTGGCCCTCTGGGGCCGTCTTGGGGCCCCCTTGGGTGTTTCTTGGGCCTTCTTGGGGCCATCTTGGAGGCTGCTCGGGCCGTCATGGGCTTCGGAGAGGCGAAAAAGGCGAGAAAGCTAAAATCTTTCAAAAACGTAAGGAAAATCTATGTGTTTGGCCTCTGGAGGCGCTCTTGTAAGGAAAATCTGTGTTTTTGGCCTCTGGAGGCGCTCTTGTGGGCGCTCTTGGAGCCCTCTTGGGCCGTCTTGGGTTCTTTTTGGGCCCTCTTGGGGCCATCTCGGGCCGTCTTAGGGCCGTCTTGGGCCGTCTTGGGGCCATCTGGAGCCGTCTTGGGGCCCTCTTGGATCCCCAAAAAGCTCAAGGTGCCCAAATCATCGGTTTTCCATAGGTTTTTCTAGATTTTGAGGCCCAGAAGGGGCCCTCCTCCTGAGGGTCGATGGAAGTGGCGCGACTCCAGGGGGGGGTTAGGGGGGGAGACGTAATCATGTAATACAATACAATATGTAGGAATTATGCAAGCATTGGACACATTGGATCCATTGCGTTACAGCATCCGCGGACCTGCCTCCGGCAACACGTCACTTCCGGACGTGGATTCTACAGGCTTACGCCACATCCGCCGACCCCTTCTTCACGAAGGGAACGGGCCAATTTTTGCGCCGAGGGGCCCTCCTGGGACGCATCTTGGAGGCCTCTTGGGGCCTCTTGGGGCCGTCTTGGGCCGTCTGGAGGCGATCGTCGGTGTCTTTGTTCGCTCTTCGACCGTCTGTGACCATATTGAGCTCTCTTGGAGGCCACTTGAAGCGCTCCTGGAGCGCTCTTGGGGCCGTCTTCGGGGCCCTCTCGGGCAATCTTGGGCGCCTCTTGGGCTGTCTTGGGGCTCTCTTGGGCTGCCTTGGAGCTTCCCTGGAGGCTGCTTGGACCGTCTTGGGGCGGTCTTTAGGGCCTCTTGGGCCGTCTGGGAGCGTCGGAAAGCCCAAAAAGCGAATTCGTGAAAAATGTACATTTTACGAAGGGAATGGGCCAATTTTTGCGTCTAGGGACCCTCGTGGGACGCATCTTGGAGGCCTCTTGGGGCCTCTTGGGGACCTCTTGGGCCGTCTTGGAGGCCTCTTAGCCCGTCTTTGAGCCATCTTGGGCGTCTTGGAGCGCTCGTTTGGCGTCTCGGGGCTCCCGTGGGCCGTCTTGAAGGCCTCTTGGGGCCATCTTGGCCCGTCTTGAGGCTTCCTGGGGCCCGGAAAAGCCCCGGCGGCGCTCGTCCCGGGCCCGGGGGGGGCGCTCGTCCCGGGCCCGGGGGGGGGGGGTCAAATCGCCGGTTTGGGGTCCCGGGGGGGGAACTATCTCACACGCCTAGAGACCCACAAGGGGTCGGCGGATTCCATGAATACACAACGGCTGAGGAGGTGGAGGAGGAGGAGGAGAATGAGGAGGATGAAAAGCAGGAGGAGGAGGAGGATAAGGAGGACTCCGATAAGGCTCAGGAGCAGCAGCAGGAGCAGGACCAGGAGAAACGCGTGAAGGAGCAGCATGGGCAGACGCTGCAGCGGTGGCCCAAGAAGGGTCATATGCGCGCGAAAATGTTTCTTCCTTCCGTCCTCCTCCCCTCCCCCTCTCTTCCTCCATCTTTTCTTTCTTCCTCCCTCCCTCCAGCCTTCTCCATCCCTTCTTCCCTTCCCCCTCTCCCTCTGCTTCCGTCGTGGCCGACAGCGTCACACCGAGAACAGTCGCCGCGGATCCGTGCCGACCAGGTCCTCTCGCCCTCCTGCCTCCCTCCCTCCTCCTTCCCCCCCCGCCCTCCCACCCCCTCTCTCCCTCCCCCTTCTCCTCCTCCTCCTCCTCCTCCTCCTCCTCCTCCTCCTCCTCCTCCTCCTCCTAGCCGCGCGGCCCAGGTGTTCTAGGGGCTGTGGCTGCACGGCACCCTGCGCACCCTTCGCCGTGCCGACCAGGCGGCGCGGCCTCCCTCGCCCGCTACCGAACACTGTTTCACTCACACACATTCCTCCATTTCTCACAGTGTTGTGCATTGATTGCCGTAGGGGTTTGCGTGGCACGTGTCCGTGCTGAGTGACTTTTTCGTGTCCCTGGAGGTGGGCTCGCTGTCTACCAGTGTTGTGCTATTACCTGAGGAGGTAGACCCGTAGAGCCCATGCGGGTGCCCACGGCGGCTTAATTGCGACGGAGCGTGTATCTCCTCGGGTTTGATTATTCTTTGTTGTATTCGTGTATCCTTGGATTTCTTCGGAACTATGCGAGTGCGAGTGTGGAATCCTCTTTCTCTTACTGACAGAGACAGGGCGTCCGAGCTGCAGTGCAAATTCGTTATAGTGGTGTTGCTAATTCTTATCGGTACGCAATGGTTTGTGTTCAAGTCCGCAGACGCGGTGGTGGCCCACATGAAGTTCGAAAGCAGGCAATTTGGATATGACCCAAGAGACAGCTTCACACACTCATCGCGTGGTGTTTCGACGATGGTTAACAAGCATACGCTTCGAGCTCGGGATGCAGTGCGTCTATGGGCCGCCCCGAAAGATATTCGCGGTGCGGGGGGCGCTGTTAGTATTATTTCGCATTGCGGGGACGTGGCTGTCGTGGGCCTTTTTTCTTATTCTTTAAAGCAGGGATCTGCGGGGGCGGCCGAAACTCAATGCTACCATCCATCGTGTTTATGACTACGCACGACAGGTACAAGCGGGCCCGTGTCGCATCGTTCAGATCATGGTGACGTATGCCAATGGTGTTGTGGGGCTTGTGAGGGGGCAGCGCAGCGCATGTGAGATCACGTCTGCCGCAGGTGAGAGGTACGGATGCAGCATGGAGCAACAGGCAGGATCTATCGTGCGCGAGATGACAGAAACGAGGGGGTTGGATATTGCAGGCGCCTTTTTTTACATCTGGCCCGAGCTTATTTGGATCAGTACCTGATGATGCAAGAATTGTTGATGCAAGACCTGACTTTCGATGTTTACGTGGTAAACGCCAGCGTGTGTCGTGCGTTGATCGTGCTTCGCGGTGTGCCCGCTACGTGTCCTGTATGCAGTTGTTCACACCGCAGATGCGCCGCGCGCGCTGGCTGCGGGAGTCGTGACGCAGCATGTCGCGACCATGCTTTTTTTTGTCCAGCTGGATTTGCGTTTCGGCATGATGCGCCGCGACGCGGGGAGCTTCGAGGGCTGCGAGCAGGAGGGCTACAACTGTG